TATATATATATATATATATAATATATATTATAGTTATATTGCAAAAAAAAAGCGGTTACAAGTTCTGGTTGGTAGAACCCACTAGAGAAAGAAGAACTATGTTACGCACTCCTACAGTTCCACCAAACCAGGGTACAACTCTGCGCAAAGATGAGCTCCAAAATGCAGAAAACCTAAAACAACTCTAAAAAAATGTACAAGTATACCCCACAAAATAAATTGAAGAAGCATATTGTTGAACTTGTCTGAAGATACTATTTAGTCCGCAGAGATAATGGTGAAATCCATCAACCAATCCTCACAAGTAATCAATGTCAAATATATTCACCAAAGTAATAATAAAAGTAAAAACTATATATATAACTAAAAAAAATTGTGAGCAAAGGATCTTTCTGAACTCTCTTCATTGTCGCGATTATCCCATGTGTTGCCGAGAATAACAAGTCTGCTCGGTAAAAAATAATAACTGACAAATCCTTATCAACCACCCTCCAAATTGCACAATGACACCCTTAAATATAGGGTGTTTATATTGTCACCATGTAACAAGATTCTTAAACTCTAAAGAGGTAGCACATGTATTATGCTCACATTCGAGTTAACACCCCTTTTTGCAAGCCAATTAGTTGTCTCTCTCGGTATGTAACTCTACAATACCTTGAAATTGGGAGTATGGTTAAAGATATGATTGATGTTTAAGGCAACATACCAAGGGGAGGGTTTGACACCCTTTAAAATATTGGTTAGCTCTAAAGAGTCTAACTTCATATGAATTAATTCCAATTTTAAACCTACCGCAGCTTTAACTGTCAATTAGGACAGCCTAGATTTTTTATTCTAAAGAACAATTACCCAAGCATGGGGAAAGAAAAAGCATAAACATTTACCATCATAATCTCTGAAAACACCTCCATCACCCACTTTCCCATTTGATTAGCTTCCATCTGTGTTCACTTTTATCCATGGATTGCATGGTTTTCTCCATATAATTTGCCTAAAACCATCATCCTTCTTATGTGTATTTATCTACTGGAATTTCTCTTGTAAAAATCTAACACCAGCAATAAAACCGGCTTACAAATTACCATAATTCACAATTTTATATATGTATGCAACTCTATTAACAGCTATGCATTCCTCCTTAACAGTCACGTCTTCATGTTTTATGGAGTTATTTTCCATCCAAATAAACCACATTATTATATAAGGTATCAAATTTCTAATATGATTTGTATTTACTCCCAAATTCCATCAAGCAATACAGTGTTCCATAGAATG